TGTGTTATGAGTTTGTTACAATAGGCTCATACATTTGGTTCTAAAAATTCTTGTGGTTAGCTAAAAAAGAGAAAACTAATGGTCAGTTACACAATTTACACCGTCCATTAGATAAAATCTGACCATTGTTCAGAATTGCCTAATTTTATGGACGAAAGAACTGAGGACCAGGAAGGGGAAAGGTTACCCATAGCAGGCTGGACCCAGACTCCAGGTCTTTCCATAGGAAATCGGGCTGCTTATCTCTTTCTTTGAAACAGAAATAATTTACTAACTATTCAATGTTTATTTGAGGCCAGCTTCTGTGCTAAGTCCCCTTTAGGGATGGACTCATTTCTCCTCACACAATCCTGAGAAGCAGCCCTGCTATTTCATAAACGAAAAATTGGGGGTGGTGTTGTGGTTCAAACATTGCAGCTCTATCCTGGTCCATTTGGAAATATGAGTCTTCTCCTTTCTGATGTCTTTCCCTTGCTTTGTTCATTTCCCACAACTTCTGGAGAACTGAATTCTCTTGAAGGTCAGATCTTTTACCACATAACTTGGTGACAGAGAACATTTCATCTTTATTTAAACATATGCTGTTCAAAATAATGTTGATAAGGACCGATAAGTAGGGGCTGAATGTATTCTGAACTCCATTTGGAATGCAACAGTGTAGTCCAAGCACAATAGGATTCATTGCTGCTGTATTCTTTGTAGGCTAATCAGTCCCACAAAATGACTGAGGGCATGGCCTTTGGAGACAGACAGATCTGGTTGGGTTCAAGCTCACATTCTGCCACTTCCTGATTGTGCCACCTTCAGTGATGTCCCTAACTCACTGAGCCCACATTCATCATCTGTAAAATTGAGACAACAATGCCTATCCTTTGGGTTCTTGTGGAGATTAAATGAAATAATAAATGTGACACACTAAGCCCAGGGTCTTGTATATAATAAATGCTCAAAATGGAAGCTTTATTATTATTATTAAATGGGAGCCATTATTATTACTACTATTATTAATATGGTTTATATTTTGGTGGGATCCAGTAGGAACAATATAACCTACTGCCATTGAGTTTATTCCGACCCTACAGGGCAGAGTAGAACTGCTTCTAGGGTTTCCAAAGCTGTCAATCTTCACAGAAGCGGACTGCCACATCTTTCTGCTGCACAGCGTCTGGTGGGTTTGAACTACTGACCTATTGGTTAGCAGCTGAATGCCTTGAACATTGAGCTACCAGACCTCCTTTTAGGAAGAATATAGAGCTTAGAATAAGATCTGAATTTGAATCCTATTTGTATTAAGTAGCTTTACAACCTCAGGCATGTCAGTTGATCAGTGAACAAGTAGGAATAAACACCTGGTACTAGAAACAAGGCAAAAGTCACCTCCAAATTGGCTTCTTTCCCCCCAGCTTTGCATTTCTCAAATCTACCACACTGCTGCTGGAGTATTGTTCTAGATGAAAATTTGACCTCTCCCTACTCAGGAGCTCTGCTGGTGCAGTGGGTAAGTCATTTGGCAGCTAGGCTAAAGGTTGGCAATTCAAACCCACCAACCACTCCATTGGAGAAAGATGAGGCAGTCTGCTTTTGTTAAGATTTGCATTCATGTGGCAGCTCTACTCTGTCCTACAGGGTTGCTATGAGTTGAAATCAGCACAATGGAAGTGGGTTTGGGTTCGGGATTTCTCCCTGTTCAATGACACTGTTCTTTCCTACCTACAGAGTACCAAATTCTTGGTCTTTTAAAATATGACCCTTGCCAAGATTTTTATAACCTGTTTCATTTTGCACATGTCATCTATCATTCCTGCCTTTGCTGAGAGTGCACATGCATGCGCACGCAGGCACACGTCTCTTATGCTCCAGCAATACTGCACTGCTAATAGCTTCCCAATACATCATGATGTTCCCTCTGCCTAGAAAGCATTTCTTCTATTTCTGCCCATTTGCTTGCCTAAAGGGGAAAACAAAGAAACAAACATAATTAATCTTCAAAACTGAGTCAGAGTTTTTATTTTCTAGGACAATGCTTCTCAAGCTTTAATGCACTTATGGTCACATGTGGATCTTGTTAAAATAGATTCTCCTTCAGTAGGTCTGGGGAGAAGTGTGAGAACTTACAGTTTTGATAAGCTGGTGATGCTGCTACTGGTCCAGTGACATTTTGAGTAACAACTCCTAGGAAGTTTCTTCTGATGTTACCCTTCCCTTGATAGAGTCCGCCTCTTTTTCTCTGTGCTCTTTTCCTCTTTGACTACATCTCTGTTGTTGATCTAATTGCTGTATCATAACTTCACTTGCTTATATGTCTGCCTTCCCAACCCGAGCAGGGGTTACTTGAAAGTGAAAACTGCCTATTTCATCTTGGTTTCCACAGAACTCAGTACAGTTTATGACACGTAGGAAGCATTTGAGAGCTTGTTTGGAGGTCCTAGCAGGGGAGTGCTGCTACTCCTATACCCTTGACCAAAGGATGGTCCTTCTCTACTGGGGAAGGTTGTTCTCTTCAATCAAGCATCCATGCAGCTTTGGAAGGGATGCACATGGAGTGGCAAGGGAGGAAGGGGACACCTGCCTAACCAGCCAGATCAGCCAAATCAACCCTGGTGATCAATGGCATAACAGACTTCACAGCCAGATCACCCTCACATCCCATAGGAAGTATTTGATATGCACTTGCTGAATGAATGCTGTTGAATGATATGTAGTTTTTATGTGTCTGTGGAAGATGAAATTATGTAGCCATTTTTTCTTAAGGAAATGTATTAGGAGCTTAAATTAACATTTTGATAATTATGGAACTCAGGCCACCATCCTTATTAAAACATACAGCTTTTATTTGTTATACCCAGCTTTTAACATTGTACATGCTACAAAAAGTAAAACATATTTGTAACATTTTTATTTTGAACATTAACATTTTATATTGACTGTATACTTATAAATACTCCATCCTATTCAAATATAAATATACAATATCAAAAGACATGATGCAAAATCTACAAAATGCAACTAGAACCAATAATTTGTATAAGGGAATTCTTTGTGAATACATGACGTTGTTTTCAAGATGCGAGAGACAAAAACCAGGCAGGAGGCTCGTATTTGTAGGATAGGACAGTGGGAGGTGAACTGTCTACTCAAGTTCAGTTAAGGCCACAATGAACCTAAGCTTGAGAGAGATAATGCTGTACAGAATGGAGTTTTCAAACCAGACTGCAGAGATCCATCAGTTCCGAGGGTTTTCCATTTAGGCTGACCATGCCAGAGATCATCTCTAATTAAGGGTTGCAAAAGAGAATGTCTCACTGTGGGTAGACTGAATAAGATCATTTTATCTTTAGGCTCCCAGTTTCACAGTAATTATAATTAACAGTTATACATCTGCTTTTCAAGATGGTCAAAATATAATATGTGTTAGAAAGTGCCTATTGCAATACTATTAGATAATTTCCCTATGAGCTTTATCTAAACAGTCTAGTAAAAATCAAATCTGTTATATCAGGGACTATCTTCTATATGAAATGTCCAAGAAGATGGCAGCTCAAAGTTGACCTAGCAAATCAAAGGAAACATTTATGCTGCTGCCGGAGAATCTTTTGAAGCTGCTTTGAAGCTCATCTATAAACGTCTTCATACAACCTGAGTCTAGTGGATTGAGGAAAAATTTAGGGTTAATTAGCTGAGCAATTCAGAAAAGTCAACTAATGGTCACTGAATTGTCCATGTGACAAATGTTGAAATGGCAGGAAAAAAAAAAAAAAAAGTCAAATAACTATGACCAAGGTGAGAATACAGCTGAGGAAAAAGAAGGGCAATTCCAAGCTGGAGAAGTACCTGGTTGGTACAAATGATAACATGCTTGGCTCTAACTGAAAGGCTGGGGGTTTATGGCCACCAGAGGTACTTGAAGGGAAAGGCCTGGAGACCTGCTTCTGAAGATCGACCCCCTGTGGGGGCTCTGACACACATGGGGCTGCCAGGAGTCAGAACTGACCTCATGGCAACTGGTAACTGGTGGCAATCTAAGTTGGAGGGTTAGAGCGCCAATCACAGTGGCCTATGCAGAAACAAAGCAATTCTCTGTTGCTGTTATATTGACTTCTTTACTGGCCATCCATGATGTCTTTCCCCTCTGCTGCCCTCATCGCCTGTGAAATTTCTTTCATCTTCAGTAGGAGGCAGTGTTGAGCAAGAAACATGGCTGTGTTGGAGTCAGACAGATTTTGCTTAGATTCTCAGCTCTATACTTCTAGCTCTGTCTCTTCAGGCAGGTGTCCTGGCTTTTTGTTTAAGTGCTCAGTCAACAACAGGCATCTTTGTGCATCTTGGGAGTGCCACGTCTTACTTTCTATCCAGATTGTTTGAGCAATAACAGACACTTTGTTCTTCTTTTAGAGTTTTGTGTGCCTTGAAGTCTCAACCTTAAAATTGGAAAACCTGAGTGCCTAAACAAGCACCTATTTATCTGCAAAGGAAGCCACACTGACCAGCACTATGGTGCCCTCTGTTGATGAGGATGGAATTTTGCAGAGAGATGGAGCTGGTTCCCACAAAAATGGTGGCTAAGTCTTCAGTCAGAGTCAGTGTTCAAAGCAATCACTTCTTCCTAGGATCCTGTGGGGGAAATTGTGTGCAGAGGGAAGCATAGTCACCTGCTTCATTTGGTACTAAATGTGAGGATTAGAGTGGTAACTCTAAGGCCTTTCTTTGTACCAGTTGGTTCCCTACCATCATCTGCTGTCTTGGTACTAGGTATCCAGCACTCCCAACTGTGGAATTTGAATTATTCACCCCAATCCATCTAATGGAGCTTACCATGCTCCTTCCAGGAGAGAGACAGCAATGCATCCTTATAAAACCTTATGGACCTGTGTCTCAGAATATCTGACTTTGGATGGAAGTGACCATTCCATCATCATCTATAGCAGGAAGCTGTGGCTGACAGCAGACTTCACTTTTTCTGAATTAACCCACCAGTTTTCCTAGAAAAAGAGACATGTCCCTTGGTTCCCTATCCCCCATATCTTAGATTACTGTGTTGCTGGGTCCATCAAGAGTTTCTTTGTCCCATCAACTTTAGACCCATGCTTAAAATAATAATAAAAATATTAATACAGAATCCTATCCCTGTCTCTCCCTTTCACTAAGAAGCAGTGCAAGAAATGTTGCCTGAGCTTTCAGATTGAGGCTTGTGTACCACATGTGACAAGAGGCTAGAGGGAGGGCAGAGACATCGCTACTGTTCTGGCCCCGCTCCCAGCGCAGTGGCTGACCCTTCTGCCTGTGGACCAATGCCGGCTGCTGTCAGGGTGCTGCATCCGTGGCAGCTCAGGGACCAGCATCACAGGCCATGCTGCCCTGGGAAGTCCTGGACTGGGGGCAGATTTAATGCTCTGTGGAGGGAGGGCTTCCCTCCCCTATTCAGGATCTGCAGCCCGTGTCCTGGCACCAAGTCTCTGCTAAAGTCCTGACTCTGCAATTTCAGCCAGTTGACTCAGCAAGCTGGAAAAGGGTGGCCGATCTTCTGGTCTCTGGAAAGTGAAGAAAGAGCTCTGTAAGTTCCTTGCACTTGCATGTCTTGGTATATCCCAAGTATACCAGAGTTCAAAGCAATACTCTGCTAGTTTTTAAATATCCTTCCGTGAGCTCTGGTGGTGTAGTGCCTAAGGCATCTGACTGCTGACCAGAAAGTTGGCGGTTCAAACCCACCAACCACTCCTTGGAAGGAAGATTGGGCAATCTACTTCTGTAGAGATACCACCTTGGAAACCCAAGGAGGGGTGGCTATGAGTTGAATCGACGTGATGGCAGTGAGTTTGTTTGTTTGTTCCACGTATGCTATATTGGCAGCACTATATTCTAGTTGTTAACAGTAGATTTCTGAATGTGGAATCAGTAAGTCTGGTTTTAAATCTCAGCTTTACCACTCATTTGTTGTGTGACCCTGAGCAGGTTACTTAACTGCTTTGGATTTCAGTTTTGTCATTTGTACAATAGTACAAATTTGTACAATAATAATACCCATCTTGTAAAATTATTGTAAGGATTAAATAAAATCATGTATAAAAGTACATCAGGGACTACTGGTGGTGTCATGGTTAAAGCATTTTGGCTGCTAACCAGCAGGTTGGCAGTTCGAACTTACCAGCTGCTCCACAGAAGAATGGGTCGGGTCTAACTCGACGGGTTAACCCAGGTTTGGGTTTGGTTTTTGGTTTTGTTACCCTCAGTAGAGCTCTGGTGGTGTAATGCCCAAAGCATTTAACTGCTAACCAGAAGGCTGGTGGTTCAAACCCAGCCTTCTGGTTAACTCGGTGGGTCTAACTCAAAG